AGAACCAAAACAATTCTTCAATCAAAACTCTCTCTCAACCAAAAAAAAAAAATGTTCTTTTAAATTATTTTATTTATATACCATCGACATCGATGCCAGTGAATGGGTTCGTCATCTTCGTCGTTTAATAAGTCTCCGTTTAGAGCAGACAATATGGTAAACCCTGAATCTCCCACAAAAGATAACTCTGTTCCGATCACTGTGAAGTCTGACCAAAACGACGGCGTTTCGATCAAACCTAATATGTTGCAATCGTCTCCTTCTCCCAAGAAAAGCTTCGGTATTTTTTTTCTTTCTAATTTATCAAAGAGTGATCATCATCATCATCTCTGGGTTTGATCTCCAGATGGATTTTTTTAATTGTTATTATTTTATTTCCAAGTCGAATATGATTAGTTCATGATGCTATTGAATCTGACTTGGGGATGTGGGGTTTCTCAGATTATACATATAATAATATTAATAATGATTTTGATTTTAATTGATTTCAATTTACAGAGTCGCCGAGAAAGAGTACATCGATTCCGGCGGTTTCTCCGGCGAATAATAATCACACGCCAGTCAAATCTCGGTGGTCGNNNTCTTCTTCTAAGAAAAGCTTTGGTATTTATTCCAAAAAATCTCACTTTTTGAATTTATTCCTGATATGGGTTTTTTTCTTCAATATTTCACCTTTTTGGATGATTACTTGATTAGTCTTGTTTAACAGATATTTTAATTTTTTAGTTATTGGTTCATTGCGATGTTTGATCTAATTATACGCTTTCTTAATTTTTGTTCAAAGTTATTGCTGTTTTTTTTTATTATATGAATACTGGGCATGTGGAGGTTCGATCGCCGGAAAAATGGTTTTCAAAATCAATTTGCTTTTCTTCTTCCTGTCAACATTAAGAGAGAGACTTTTTATAGGTTTATCTGATAAGATCATATATCTAATTTAATTTCTTCCATTAATAGATTTTATGACAAAAACAAAGACTTTTCCTCCGTGATATTAAAGTTTTTTCACACAACAGAAAATAAGTAATTATAAAAAGATAGAGAGAGAGTGAAAGTGAGCTATTTTGGTGAATTGGAATTGAAAAAGTTGTCTACTTTAACTGTGACCCTGAACAAGTCTGTGTAAAAAGTTTTACTCTTCTTGATCTGGGTTCCATTGATTCTCACGCTTTAATTTGAAGGGTTTTTGGGAAAAAAAAAACAAATTCGAAATTTTTTACCCGGGAACTTTAGAGAAATTAAGTAGATTCCATTGATTTAAATCTCAAGTTAATCTCTTTTTAGGCATTGCTTTTGTCATTTCTTCAGATTCTATCTCCTCTGTTTTAAGATCTATACTTATAGTGTGGTTATAGTCCAGTTCTGGTCTATTCTATCTTATGATGGTGATTGAATCAAAAGGTTTGAAATACGTTTTAAGAACAGTTTTATACACTTGTCATTTTTCTCTCTCTAAAGTTTTGGAATGTTTCCTTTAATTTGTTCCACAGGAAGTAAAGATGAAACCTTTTTCGATACGCAGCAATGGCTGCAATCTGATTCCGACGATGATTTCCACAGCGTAAATGGCGGTAAAACCTTCTCTCTTTGTTTGAGTAAATGATATAGTTTCTGTACTAGTCAAGATTCAGAATCTTGATTTTTATACTTTTATACTCAGATTTCACTCCGTCGCGTGGGAACACTCCTATGGGCAGCTTCTCAGATAGGCCTCCTCGTTATCAAAACCTTATATTCCAAGAGAAGAAGCCTCCTCGAGGCTCGTCTTCTCCAGCGCCACAACCGAGGAGGAAGAAGCTTGGTGAGCTATTCAGAGACAGTATAAGAGAGGAGAGAGAGGAAAGCTCTGAAGGGTCATCAGCTTTAAGCACTCCTTATCTCTCAGGTTCTAACTCTGGCGAATTCAACAACGCTGCCAATGGAGACTCGAGTGCGAAGGAAGAGAAGAAGAAGTCTAATTGGCAGCATCATCGATGTCTTCCTGGATTCTCTTCATGTAGTGGAAGCTTCATGGAGAGGAGGAAGAAGATGAGCTCTGAAACCGCGTTTGTCGCTGTGGAATGAGATGTTAAGAGAATCTGTAATTTGGCTATGTTTTGTATATGAAAAAGAGACTGGGACATACAGAGTCCTCAGGGTAAGACTCTGGTGAATTTTACAGGTACCTACTTCACTTCTTGTGATGAGAAGAAAAATGAATCAATAGTTGAAGAGATAATGTAAAAACAAGATAATGAGATGGTTGTGTATTCATGATGATACTATGAGTTATGGATCTGTGGCTTTTGAAGTATGAAGAATCTTTACTACATGGTTCATTGTTTCTTTACAGTCAATTGTGTGATAGAATTATAGAAAGTTGTAACATCATG